ACTGCCTCACCCACAGCCGCTTCCCAAAGGGTCATGCTGCCAGTGCACTGAGGATGCTGATGCTGCATCCTTCCTCTTCAGCTCCCTATCCACCAACTTCCCACCCTCCCTAAGAGCCTTCACACTGCACAGATCCCAATCCACCCTGTACACAGGTGGTGGGTTTCCAGTTGCTCACCTCATGCTAAATATTCTGTGTACCCACCATGCTGTGTGCAACCTCCTGCATTGTCTCCCTCATCCTGGAAGCTGTGAAGCAGTAAAAGATTTCTCCTCCTCAGCCCAGTGCTTGCTCCTATACACAAAACATCACATCACGTCTGAGATGCTGATACCGTCTCGAAATGTACTAGTAACTACTGGTAAAGGAGAGGCTCTCCATAATCCATTGCACTTAATTGCATCTATCAGCCAGGGTTGGGTTTAGTAGTATTTGTCCAAACTGGTTGCTCAGTGCCAAAGACAACGCAGTAAATCAGTCACTGTTTCTCTAATCCATTATCTTTCTTCTCTAACATTTTTACAGCACACCACAAATTGGGTGCTGCCGGTGAGACTGGCTCATAACACACATAAAGTTTTGTTTTAATAAAACATCAAAAGGCAACACTAAGGATTGATGGATTAATTTCTCTGTGATGTGTCAGTGGAAGGAGCAGTCTATGGCCAAGGGGGAGGAATGCCTTCTGCTGGGACAAACCCCATCAGCATTTCTAGCCTCACTGCCCAACAACACAAAACTTACTACACATGTTTAACAAATCAGGCAGTCCAGCCTCTGCTTCCCCAGAAGCTTTTGGCTGGTTTCAAACCACCCCAGCTGCAAGGCAGAGGTTCTGATGGTATGACAAACATCACTGTGGCAAAAGGAGCAGACCAACAGGATGGAAAGGTTACTGTGACCCAGAACTAGCCCTCAGAGTAACCCTCCAGCAAGAGGCAATCAAGAGCCTTCATTTGCTGGGAGCAGATACCCGGTCCTGGTGCCAGTACTGGCAGCATCACTTCTTCCCATCCCATGCCTATTATTTCTTCTCCTCTGTCCCCCTGGAACAGACATCAGCCCCCCAAGGCACCTGCCTTCCCTTGCTGGGCTTTCCTCCTATGCTCTTCTCATTAACTAGCTCTTTACCTAGCTGCATGTCCACAGTTAGATGGCCTCACACCACATCTTTAAAGTCAGTGGGAGCTTGGACATGAAATCCAATAAGCTGAGGATGACCTGTATGGTCCCTGCCATTCTTCTTTTCCCTATTAATTCCCCTCTCCTTCTTTTCCTGTCATATTGTTTTACCTATTACTCCATGCCTAATAAATTATGAGTAATGTTCCAGCATCAAACATTTCTTATCCTGAGCACCAAGTGACTAATGAATGAGTTAACCTTCAATTTCTGTCCATATAATTCACGCACATTAATTTTACATGAAAAGGACTCTTGACTTATATCGGATGACCATGATAAAGCTAATCTTTTTAATGCTGCTTCTTTCTAAATAAACGTAAAATGTTTTCCTTTAGAAAGTTTCTCACTGGTAAAACCAGCACTGAACTTGGCAAAAACACTCCTCTGATACCCTGCCGAACTAATGAATAGAAGTAAATAACAGCCAAACCTGCATAAAAGGTCTCGGATTTCTCCAAGCACTTGCGGCTCCACCAGCATTACACGATTGTTACAAACAGGACAGGTAATCAGAGCTGACAGCTGGTGTCAAAATCCACAGCTGGAATTTAGCAGTGGGTTGGGAGAGGTACCAGTTTGGGGCCATCTTATTCCTGGTTTCATCTGTGCTCCTTTCCCTATGGCATTGCCTCCGAGCTATAACCCCAGTCACAGAGGGAGCATAGGGACAACATGCACCTCCTGAGCCTTTGGGATCCCAAGGAAACCTCTGCAGTGGGTGCTGATGGGCCTTGCAGCCACATCAACACTGCTGTTCCTGCCTTGGCTTTGCCAGGTGAGGGGACTAACAGGGAAACTGTACTTTGGATTTTGTGCTGGCTGCCATGGGGTAGTCCAGGTTTCCCTAGGATGCACAGGGCTGGGAGTTTTAAACACTCCAGACTTGCAGAACCTTTGGAGAAGGCTCATAACAGGAGTCAGGAGAGTGTTCACTTAGATTAAAAACACAGCTTACCTATCTCCTCCTTTATGCATATGTGCCATGTATACACTGATGCGGAAAGGCTCGGGGAGACAGGCTCCAAAGTGCAAACTAGAGATGGGATGGACAGCCAGCTCGTCCAGCAGCCGGGACCATGGCCAGGCCAGGGTTTTGCCACAGCTCCTCAAACCTGAAGAAAAATTAATGTGGAACAAATTGATCTCTCCCCTGCATCACCATGGCCAAGGCCAGCATCTCACATACACACACAGCAGCACGAGCTGCTTCTGCTATAAACTGTGACTGCTTTAAACTCCTTGCCCGGGTTGCAAGGTCCCAGCCAAAACCAAGGGAGAGAACAAGGAAGCAAGCTACCAAGAGCGGCGGACACCGGCAGCCCTCTGGAAACAGGAATGTCATAGGAAGGGCGTGTCAGGTAGTGCTGCTGGGGAGAGCCCTTGGAAACAGAAGGGGTTTGTTTAGTTTGCTCCTTTAAAATACGTCCACTCCTTTCTGAGCCTGCATATTTCACAGTCTTGGCATACTTTCCTTGCTGACAACTCTGGCAGACTCAATGATTTTTGTTCTTTTCCTAAGTTAATGCACTCACCAAATGCATTTTACAAGCTCCTACAACTTGAGGAATAGAAATTGTAGCCTGACAAAAACCCAAGGACCAAAAACGGTAATATTGCAGAACATTCAGGGGCTCAAAAATGCAGAGCTTGGCATGGGTAACACATCTGCATTGTTTTTCAGTCATTAATTTTTATTCCTTTTCATGGTAAAATGATTAAATGACTTTGTACAAAAAAAAAGGGGTGAGGATCACAGCTATTTGGACTCCAAATAGATGCTTTTAATCTACAGGATTTCAGGAAAACCATGGAGGAATTATCTATACCCAAACATTAGGAAATAATATATTTCAGCTACCCAAGTGTTAGAATTCTATACACTCATGTATTAGAAACATCTGTGTTTCAGCAAAAAATCCTGTTACTAGGCAAACATCAAGAACAGAAGATAAAAAGAAACTGGCTGTGCTTGGGAATGTCAGTACACAGATGAGCAACCCAAGTCTGCGAAACTCTGTAATATTTTCCAGGATGGTAACAGCTCTGGATCAGACCTGGGAACAGTTATGTATTATTCTAAATGAACAGCTTGTCATTTCTTCATGCCAAGCTTTGCAATAGCCGGAGAACACTGTCCCTCCGCTGCCACACCCAGTTCATCCCTTTTTCCACAAAACAGCTGTTCTGACCCTATGATTTTTCACCAAAGAAGAGAAGCTGTGGCTGCCCCATCCCTGGCAGTGCTCAAGGCCAGGTTGAACAGGGCTTGGAGCAACCTGGTCTAGTGGAAGGTGCCCCTGCCCATGGCAGGGGGTTGAACTGAATGAGCTAGAGAATCCAGTCTGGGCAACCAGAGTGCCTAGCTGAACTCCACACCACAGGCAGTGAAAATCTCCTGGCACTCCATCCAAAAAGCAAGCACTCCATGCAACACCAGACTGGGTTTGTTGTTTGTTGGGTTTGTTGTTTGCTGTTTTTTTTTAATTATAATAAGAATAGAATAGTTCTAATCTGAAATAGTAATAGTAATAATAATAAGGAGGAGGAGTCTGGTGTTGCATGGGGTTCTTACTTGGTGAAAGGAGTGCCTGGAGATTTGTTTCACCACATGCGAATATAAGTGTGCAAATTATTATTACAATCATTATAGAATCATAGAACAGTTTGGATTGGAAGGGACCTTCAAATCTTATCCAGTCCAACCCCCCTGCAATGAGCAGGGATATCTCCAACTAGGCCAGGTTGTCCAGAACCACCTGGCTTGAATGTCTCCAGGATGGTGCATCCACCACCTCTCTGAGCAGCCTGTGCCAGGATTTTACCACCCTGATTGTAAAGAATTTCTTCCTCACATCCAGCCTGAATCTCCCCTCTTTCAGTTTAAACCCATCACCCCCATCCTATTGCAACATGCCTTCTCCCCATCTTTCTTATAAGCCCCTTTTAAGTACTGAAAGTATATATGCCTAAAATTATATTAATATTTTATAACCACAACTATGGTAATATTATGTTAATATATTAGCATGCTTTGGCCCGTTAATGTTAATTTATTATCATAATCGCTATGTTTTATACAGCAACTATTTTTTTTTTTTATTTTCATTATTATTAAACTCCTTCCGATTCAACGAGACAGGCTTTAAATTCCCAAGAACTCCCCCAGACCATCAGCACCACGAATCTCAACTCCTCCTCCAACAACCGCATTCCGCGGTATCTCCTGCCATCTACTGATGCTTGCGAGAAGGAGAAGACTGCATTTTGCCAAGTGTGGGGCTAGAATCCCCCCCTTTGCTGTTCAAATACACGGGGGGGGGACGGGACGCTGGGAGGCACCGGGAGCCCGGCCCCGATCCTGGAGACCGCCCGGGGCGGGCCGGGATCGGGGCCGGGCTCTGCCCGAAACCTCCCCTAGGGAGGGGAAGGCGCAGCCCTTAAGAGCGGCAGCGGTTTCGGCCGTCCCATCCCGGCGCGAAGATGGGGGAAGCAGCGGGAGGCAGCGCGGTGCCTCCGCTACCGCCGTCGGAGGCGGTCGGGGGGCAAGTGAATGCCCTGACCGTGCTGGCCTTGCTGGAGAAGCTGGTGTCGATGCTGGAAGCGGTGGAAGGGCAGCAGCGGCAGATGGAGCAGAGGCAGCGGGGTTTGGAAGGGGCGGTGCGGGGTATTCAGGGGGACCTGGGGAAACTGTGCCGCAGCCACGGGGCGACAGGGGAAGCGGTGGAGAAGCTGCTGGAGAAGTCGCGGAAGGTGTGCGCTCATACCCGCGCCGTGCGGGAGCAGCTGGAGAGGCAGTGCGACCAGGTGCGGCGCCTGGAGCAGCATCACGCGCAGCTCCTCCGGCGGGACCGCTTCAAGGTGCTCATCTTCCAGGTGAGACACTGCCCCCCGGCCACACTGGAAAAGACCACTGCTGCTAACTCCTAGCACGCTTAGGGAAAGAGGAAAGAGTTGGTTTTCATTCTGGCCAAACCTGGGGAAAGAGCTGACTTCTTACTAACTCTTAAACTCGGCAAAAGAGCTGTCTTCTTCCTAACTTCGGAAAAGTCCTTTTAATCTTGGCAAACTTTGGGAGAGTCCGCTTTAATTCTCAGCAAGTTTAGGAGAAACACCCATTTTTACTCTTATCAAACTCAGGGGGAAAGCCTGTTTTGCTAACCCCTAGTGAACCTGGGGAAGGAACTGTCTTTTTTGCTAAGTCTTGGGGAGTCTGGGGAGGGAAAGCCCTTTCTTAGTTAACTTTTTGCAAACTTTGTGAAAGAGCCTTTTAACTCTTGGCAAACTTGGAGAAAGAGCTGTCTTCTACTATCTGCTATTGGACCTGAGGAAAGAGATCTTGTTTTGCTAACTCGTAGTAAACTTGGGAAAAGCGCCACCTTTTATTCTCAACAAATCCGGGGAAAGAGCCATCTTTTACTAACTCTTAGCATATGTGGGAAGGAACTGTTTTGTTGTGGGGTTTGGAGTTTTTAAGTAAACTTTAAGAAAGGGCTTTTTTTTCCTTTTAATTAGCAAACTTGAGACAAGAGCACATAACTTTTACCAGTGCCCCTAAAAACTGCCACTGCATCTGCCCTCTGGATGAGGAGAGGGGAAGTGCTGCAGCTCCCTGTCACGCTCAGCCTCACATCCTGCTTTCTTCCTCAAGCTGGTGCAGCCCATTCAGGGATGAGCTAAAAAATCCAGCTAAAAACTCAGCTTCCTGGGATTCCACCCAGCGATAGCAGCAGTTTGCATATTTTCCCCTTTTTAAGGAATGGCCTGGACAGAACATGGCGTGAGCTTTAACTAAACAGGACGTGACTTTCAGATCTTTGACAAAGCGAAAAGGAGAAGCCATACCTCCACAACACCCTGAGGGAAGAAAGGAAAGGAAATGCAGGGCTGGAATAGCCCCAGCTCAGGCATGTCACCACCTCATCACACTAAACTTGTTGGCTGGGTGTTACATCTGTCAGTCACTAACTCCCCTCTTTGTGTTGTTGCGTGTTATGTCTATTTAAACAACCCCAAAACAACAGAGCAGTGCCTGATTTTCAAAGCTGGCAGGCCTGGTTAGTGCAGAGGTGCTTCCCTCAGAAAGGAAGCCCCCACCTCCTGCTTATTGTTCTCCCAAACTGCAGTCCTGGCTTGCCAAGCCAGAAGAGGAGGAGCTGTGGCATGTACCGAGCGTGGTAGTTTCCATCCCAGAAGGAATGTAGAAATTATTCCAGGAACTGGGTAAACTAAAAGACACATGTTCCCTGTACTTCTGCAAGGACCGTATGATCCATTACTGTAAGCCAAGATACTGCCATCTCCCAGGCCCTGCTAGCTGGCTCCCACCTCCAGGTTCTAGACCTAGACCCTGAACACTTCCCATGGGGAGGGTGCATCAGCGTGGCCTGGGGGAAGGCAATTCTATTGCATTTATGCTACCTCCAAGCATGAGAATTAAGGCCTTGCCATAGCAACTACAGCGTCTTCCTCCACAGAACTAATATTTGAGCCTTTTAAAATGACATAATGTGGAGCATGAAGCTAAAAACACAGCTGTGTGTGTGCAGTACAGGTCTTGTTACCTCTGTTAGGGATCCCCATTGCTGCTGCCTAGGGGCAGTGATTCGCAGGCACTGGGTGAAGTTACAGTAAAGCTCACCAAGAAGAGTTTGGAGGGTAAAGCAAGCAGTGTCCTGACAGGGGAGGGCTGGCTTTGCTTGCTTCCTGACACTGAACAGTATTGAAAAGCTAAGGCTTATTTAAACCTCCAAGCCTTTCCTTGGAGTCCTAAATACTGAGTCATAACTTCACAAACCCAAAGCAAACGACACAGGTCTGTGTCCCAGAACAACAGCTAAAGAAAATCCACTGCTGCTCCACCACCAATCACTAGGCTGGTACCTTCGGACAGCAGGTCCTTCGTTGCTTTTACAAGGATTTAGTTGACTTTGGTCCTGTCTATATTGGAAAATACATTGCCATGCTGTGCAGAGATGAGCATAACCAATCCCAAACTGATGGAGATCAGGAACATAAGCCTTGGAAAAGAAACACTGCAGTTAAATTCAGTTAAAAGATCAGCTGTCAACTGGGAATTGCTCCTGGCACTGCCCTGCTGCTGGCTGGAAAAGCTGGGTGGCCAAAAGAGCTTCCCAGGGCATGGGAGGAGCTGGGATTTTCCGCTGGGGAAGCAGCCACACCTGGAGGGATGGTGGGTGCTTGCCAGGCCATGCCCACACATCTGCTGCCAGCACAGGCTGCACCTTACCTGTGTGCCCACCACCATGGCATCGCCCTGTGGGGTCTCTTACAAGCTGGAGGTGGGATGACCTAGTAGCAAACAGGGCTACTGCCTTGCTAGGATAACTAGGATACAGAGGGAAAAGCAGAAGGCTGGCTGGGTTTCTCTCCTGCCCTGAGCAGGAATCCATGGAAAAACAATTGCAGGAAGGAGACGTCTCAACAATGAAGCCGTACTGATGCCAGATTTATGTAAAAACAAAAGGGAAATCTGGATGTAGGAGACTTCAGCTGGGGGGGTTCTTCTTTTCCACTGAAAAAAAATCCCCAAACCAATCCCAAACTTCACACTGCATTTTTCTCATTAGAACCCATTTTTCCAGTTTAGGAAGACAGCTTGGCATGAAAACAAAAATGCACGTTTGTGATTCAGTTCTGCGTTTATCATCTACCTCATACTCTTTGATTCTTGGTGGGGGCACTGAGCATAGCCAAAACACGACTGAGCTCCAGCTCTGCGTTTTATGAAGCTATGTTGCTGCTCGACAACATCAGCTTTCCCTCAGCGTACACACTGAGAATGAACTGCATTGAGAAAAGGTCACCTATTTACATATTTGCCATTAAAATGCACTTAGTTTTCTCTCCCCTAAACTGTCTGTATTGTTCCTATTTTGCATAGATTTATTTAATTGGTGACATATTTTAAGGGTGCTCCATTCCCAGCATTTGGGGATGCAAAAGTTATTACAGATGCCACAAGTGACACAGCGATTCAGCAAAACACTGAAGTGACTGTTTTAAAAATCCTTGTTAAGCTTTGGCATTGTTCCCCTCTATTTTGTTCCTGCCATGTGACCAGCTTTTGGTTCTGGTTTGGTGGGGGCTTTGTTTGCCTTTTTTTTTCAGCTGCAAAAGCAAAACACAAGATAAAAAAAGGCTCATGTTTAATTTGAAAATTAAAATCTCATATTTACTGATAAATAGGACAGATTAAATAAGTCAAAATTATAGCATGGGGTCAAGTACACTGATACTTGAGCCCCTTTCAGATGCTGCTCGTGGTAAATGCTTCAAACTGAAAGGAAGCAGGAGAAGGGCACAGAAAAGCAGCTACTTGATTGTATCTTGTTGTTTGGGTCATGGTAATAATCTTTCAAATAAGCAACTTCAAACTCAGAAATGCACAAGTGAGGGAAGCAGAAGAATTATAGGCTGGTAATGCTATCATCTCACTGCTGAATGTCCCACTGGGGCCTTGCAGGGAGAGTATTCTTATATTGATTAATGACAAAAATACCTTGTACGGCTCTTAGGACTCAATTCAGTTGTGCTGCAGGAGGTCAAGGGGAAAGTGCAACCCCTGCTCAGCCTGTACAGGATGTGCAAATAGGCACCTAGCAAGTTCCCCCTCCTTGACCACAGCCCCAGCCTGCTCCCTGCCCTCATCCCTTCCTGTGGTGACATCCAGGTTTGAAAAGCCTGTCCAAAGGAAAGTAGGTGGAAATATTGCTGTTTTTAGAAGGATTTGTCATCTTTTTAGCTATTTTGTGTAGCAAAACAAGTTTTAGACTGGCAATTATGTAGGCATATAACAGCATCTACAAAGTGCAGAGGCGCCTAGACCACTGAAAGCATTGGGAAATGCCATCTTGTTTTTTTGAAGGCCATGGCCACTCACAACAAATCCAACAAAAATCGAAACCAAAGCACACCAATTGCCCTTATGCAGCATCAGAAATGCAGCCCTCCTGAATAAATTAACTACCTGCTCACTCAGTTTTGTAGTACACCATTATGGATCTTATCTTCTTCCCTGGTAAAAGATAGGGATAAGATTATGACCTATAGAAAGCTCCAGAGAACGGCTGATCAAAGCCACAGGGAAGGCACTGATTTTAACTGTGCTGGTATTACTAGTATTAGCAAGACTTGTTTTACACAAAGAATTGAACTATTCTATTTGTCTCCTACATGGAAAAATTAAATTCAGAGGAGGTAGCTACCTACAGTCAAGCTGATGTGAGAAAATGCAAGTGCTGTTTTTGAACTCGGATGTGGAAAATAAAAAGATGTAATGCTTTCTCAGAATTTTAGGTTAGATCAAGAAGAAAAGATCAAAGTTCTACTTTTTTTGGCACAGAAAATAGTTATGCAGTTTGTAACAGCTGGCATTTTTCAGTGCATTGTTCTAGCTTTCCTAAATGAAATACCAGACTGCTTGAAAAATGCATCAAAACAAAACATAGCTGTCATATAAACTTGTTAGACCAAAAAGTTACCAATATCCCACTTAGAATATGTTATCAGTAACCACATTTGAAATAGAAATGTCTGTGCCATTAGAGCGCTCCTACCATACCACCTTTGTATTTCCAAAACACTTAATTTATTTTCATTTGCATTTTAATAGTACCTGTGATCCTAAGGTCTCTTAGAAATGTGAGACAGGAGAGCATGTCATTCACATTTTACAAGAGATGCCCAGAGACTTACGTTTTCCAGAGCCATGCAGGAGGCTTAGAGAAGTGATTTCTTGACTGACTGATAGCTAAAGACTACCTAGAAACTGCTTTTAATTGAATCATTAGCTCATTATGTAGTATACCTTAATTTTTTTTTTCTCTATAAATACGGATCACTTGACAGTCTCCCTTTTACTCAGCCACAACTTTGATAAAAAAAGAAATAAGATCTATGTCCATATTCTTCTAGAGACTGCATGCAGTACTTTGGTTTAATGTGAATACTGCAGACACAGAGCTAAACTGACCTTGAGAAGAGCCACACAGGTCCATCTCTGGCTTAGGCTGTACTGTGATCCATCTCATACAACACCACTTTCCTAGATTAAATACTTTAAAGGCTACAATCCATCTTTAGTCATTAAAATCGGAGTTCTCTATGCCATTCAGACACTTACACCTGAATGTTCAGCTGTTTAAAACTGCATGTGATTACCTAGGTTTGGAAAGAATGCACAAGACACGTAAATTATGCTTCACGCTGAGTTGTCATGCTCTGGGGAATAATTTTACACTGCACCCACTCATGTAATCCATATTTCATTAACTGCAGTGGAGAGAAAATATAAATATTTGTACTGCAGCTACTGCTGCTTTCACTTAAAGCTTGTGCAGGTTTCCTTTGTTTTGTTACCTTGGTCATTGTCACTGATAGTTGCAATAATGTTACAGGTGTTGGGAGAGGAGGGATGGCTCTATTAGATGTTCCACTGCAGGCAAAGGGCTTGGAAAAGCTTTGTCTGTGCCAGTGATTGTGGCTGAGGCTGCTGGTCCAGGAAGCTGTGTAGAAACCCTAGAAGTAAAGCACATACGAACTGTAAAACTGCCAAATTGCCATCCATACTTTTTGTTTTACAAGAGATACTCGTCAACACACTTAAATCACAGTATATATGATTATATACTGTATATGTATGGTATAAAATGATCCTGCCTGGCCACATGCATATTCTTGAGTTCCAGAAGCACTACAGGGAAGCCAGGACTATTTTGTTTCCAAAAGCATTCTTACAGAGTGTCAACAGCAAATTTAACCCAAGACACTGTTCTCTCCAGTGATCACAACTGCATGCTCAGTCCTGAAATAATGAGCATGAGCTACGAAGTGTATGTGGCCTTTCTTCCCCTTAACTGTACACTCAAGGCCACTAGGGACAGATGTGAGACTATTACAACCATTTCACACAGAACTTACCGTTTTTCGTATCTAAAGATAAATGGGAAGGGGGGAGGTGAGAAAATCCTTCCAATCCATGCAGCTAAGTGATACTGCATGCACTCTGAGAGTGATAAAAAAGATAATGAATGGAGACTATGCAGACCTAAGGCACAACAATTCCAAGAGGAAAAGGGAGCATGCAAGGAGTCTCATTTTCTTTGCAGGGCAGATGTCTGCAAATCCTACCACAGAACAGTGTGTTCATTGTGCTGCCTCTGAACTGCTCAGGGTTGCAGAGCTTCAGCCACAGAGGTCCTTCATTAAGAGTTGCAGCTTCTGCCCTCATTCAGCCTGGTTTGTTTTCAGACATCTTCTCTCTTTCCATGCCCTCTCTTGGTTTTGTTTCTAAACAGCAAACACTTTCGTGCTAGCTAGAAGTGACTAGTGTTTCCTATGTAGTATAATATCTGTTTATTTTGTGTGCCATAAGCATCTTTTTCAAGGAGTTCTGTCCATATTTTTAATATTTACCAACCAGATTTATTAACTTTTTTTCCTGTAAATAGCCGTAAAATGGCACATACTCTAAACATCATGGACTGCACGGCTTCTCAGTATCAACAATATGTTTTTAACAGCAACATACATTCTGCTGTAATACAATGAAAGTGCTAACTGCATTTGCCATCTAAGGTACCTGTTAGATGCAACTAACATCTCTGCAGAGATAGTGCCAGTCCTTGGCTAAAGAAGGTGAAACCTGCGGGGTTACATGACTTCTGTAGGTCTGTGTAGAGTCTGCAGTACAACCTCCTTAGCCACGTCTCCCTCTTCCCCAGGGATGGGTGAACAAACTTTACCTCTGAACTTGTATTAAAGAGTATCTAACTTAAATGACAAGGAACAGGATTCCCATTCTGTACACATTCCAACTCGCTCTGAAAGAGAAATCTCACAGCTCAGCGTTCATTAGTCTTTAACTTTACGAGATAATGGTTCAGTGGGCTTTGAGTGGTTTGTTACCGGTTAAATATACTGAGACAAGAAGAAATGTTCAGCAGTCTTCATCTCATTAGGGTGTGTGGGGTAATTGTTGAGGGTTGTGCTTTGTTTATTAATTTAGTGTCCTGTGAACTATGAAACTCAAATATTGTCAATTCTTTCAGGAGGAAAATGAGATCCCTGCCAGTGTTTTTGCAAAAGAGCCTGTTCCCAGCATTACAGAAGGAAAAGAAGAACCTGTGGATGAGAACAAAACGCTGGAAGAAACCTTGCAAACAGTGGAGTTGCACTCGGATGATGAAATGTTTCACGAAGAAGATGATTTGGATGACAGTGCAGAGGAGAAAACAGAAGAATCAAGAGCTGAGAAACTTAAAAGATCCAGCCTTAAGAAGGTAGACAGCCTCAAGAAAGCATTTTCTCGCCAAAACATTGAGAAGAAGATGAACAAGATCAGCACAAAGATCGTCTCCCCTGAACGGAGAGAAAAGATCAAGAAATCGCTTACTGTACATCATCAAAAGTCCTCTTCTTCAAAGACTTCAGGTTTCAAAGTATCGCCCCTCATGTTCAACGTGAAGAAAGTCCGTGAAGGAGAAA